GTGTGTGTGTGTGTGTGTGTGTGTGTGTGTGTGTGTGTGTGTGTGTGTGTGTGTGTGTTTGTGTGTGTTGTGTGTCTGTTGTTTCTGTGCTTATAATTCATATATACATAACCTATACGTGCACATATATGCACATATATCCCCCCATCTCCCCCCATCCCCTCACCCGTTCTCCCTCTCACACCTCATTCATTCTAACCCCCCACCCCCCTTTTTTTCCACCCCCCACCAGGCATCCACTCCAGGGAATGGGTGTCCCCTGCACGGCCATGTTCATCCTGCACCGCCTTGTCGAGTTCAACTGGGAGGACCATGAGATTATCAACGAGTTCGACTGGTACATTCTTCCCTTGGCTAACCCCGACGGTGAGTACGGGAGGTGACTCATGGGCTAGGCTGATATTGGGAGATAAAGGGGGTGGGGGGGTGGGGGGGTGGGGGGTTCTTGTCGTTGTTGTTGTCGTTTTTTTTTGTTTTCATGGGTGGGTTATTAGGTGTTTGATTTGTTGGTGTTTTTTCAGCTTTTTTTAATAGGTAGAGATAGATTTAAGACAGATAAACATTACGATAAATACGCACATGAACACACACACACGCACACACACACACACACACACACACACACACACACACACACACACACACACACACACACACACACACACACACACACACACACACACACACACACACACACACACACACACACACGCACGCACACACACACACACATGCTTGTCATAGACACGCAATACCCCACTCACAAACACCCCACAAGCACACACACAGAGTACACGCACTGACGTAGTTAGATGTGTCTGTCCTGACGTCATTCAGCAAGATTAACAGTTCGAACCTGATGGTGATAATGATAATAGTAATAATGATAGTTAAGATAATGATAATGATAATAATAATAATAATTACAATAATGATAGTGATAATAATAATGATGATAATAATAATGATAGTAATAATAATGATATAATAATAATGACAATGATAATAACAATAACAGTGATGATGATGACAATGGCGGTGATGATGCCAATAAGTACAATAATAATAATGATAATAATCACAATCATAATAATCATAATAATTATCATCATAGTAATAATAATGATGATAAGATTAGTATCAATTAAAATGATACAACAATGATAATAATAGCAATAACAACAACAACCACCATCACAGGCTACGAGTACACCCGCCACCACGACCGCCTCTGGAGGAAGACCCGCTCCATCAACCCAGAAATGCCCGGATGTGTCGGAGTGGACGCCAACCGCAACTTCGGGTATCGGTGGATGGAGGGAGGGTCTTCGAGTAACCCTTGCAGTGACATCTACGCCGGTCCTACCTCCTTCTCCGAGCCTGAGACGAGGGCCATTAGGGACTTCTTGGTCGAGAATAAGGATCAGGTATGTTTTGTTTTTGTTTTTGTTTTTTTGTTGTGTGTTTTGTTTGGATATATATATTTTTTTTGGGGGGGGTTGTTAGGGTGTAGGTGTAATTATGCTTTGTTAGATTTTTTTGTTTGGATTGGTGTTAAAAAGATGGGTCTTTTTATATTATTGTAGTTACCCTTACAATGGGATAAGATTTTCGTTTTTTGTGACTGTAACAGTTTTGCTCGTTTTCTTTGATCTCCAAAACATTACGAGGACTTAAAAAATATATACATTAAATACATAAAAATACATCTGCACGCTCCCAAACCCAATACCACTCCCGCACCTATTTTTACATCCATATTCACTCCCACTTCCCATCCCCTCCCTTAATCCAACTCCCATACTTGTTCTTACACCCACACCCTCCCCACTCCCCCATCCCCTCCTCCTCTCCCACTCCCACGTACCCACTCTCATTTTACCCCTCTTACACTAACAGCTGAAGGTGTACCTGTCCATCCACGCTTACTCCCAGATGTGGATGCTTCCCTGGGGCTTCAGCCAAGAAAGGCCTGAAAATTACAACGACATGTACGAAGTGGCACTGAATGCTACGGCCGCATTGGAGAAGTCTTATGGCACTAAGTGAGTTTGGTGTCTGTATTTCGTTACCTTTTTTATTATAATTTCACTTTTATTCATTTTTATTCGTGTTTTTAAGATTTTAGATGGGTTAGATATTTTAAGATTATAGTTGGTGATTTGGTTATTTTTTTTTGCGCTTCAAGTTGATATTAGAAATAATCTGAATGTCTTCGTGTGTCATTTGGTTGACATAAAGAAATATATATATATATATATATATATATATATATATATAATATATATATATATATATATATATATATATATATATATATATATATATATATATATATTCTCATTTGCAAATTAATGTGCCTATAAAATGGCATACATCAATCAAAAAATCACAATCAGTATAAATATTTTGAGAGACTAATCTCCAGAAAGTATACTCACATTTTTATTTCATTATTCAGAACCTATCTTTCATTCAACGCCTTTGCTGTCTCTCCTTCCTCTCCTCTCCCTCTCCCTCTCCCTCTCCCTCTCCCTCCCCTCCCTCTCCCTCTCCCTCTCCCCTCCCTCTCCCTCTTCTCCTCTCCCTCTCCCTCTCCCTCTTCCCTCTCCCTCTCCCTCTCCCTCTCCCTCTCCCTCTCCCTCTCCCTCTCCCTCTCCCTCTCCCTCTCCTCCCCCCTCTCCTCCCTCTCCCTCTCCCCTCTCCCTCTCCCTCTCCCTCTCCCTCTCTCCTCTCCCTCTCCTCTCCCTCTCTCCCTCTCTCTCCCCTCTCTCTCTCCTCTCCCTCTCCCTCTCCTCTCTCTCTCTCTCTCTCTCTCTCTCTCTCTCTCCCTCTCCCTCCCTCTCCCTCTCTCCTTCCCTCTCCCTCTCCACTATCCCCCTCCCTCTCCTCTCCACTATTCCCCTCCCTCTCCCTCTCCACTATCCCCCTCCCTCCCTCTCTCACTCACACTGTCCCTCTCCCTCTCCCTCTCTTTTCTCTCCCTCTCTCTTCCCTCCCCCCTCTCCCTCTCTCCATCATTATCTTTTCTTGACATCCACTTTCCCTTCAGATACCGCATCGGAAGCATCCCCGAACTGCTCTACGTGGCGACAGGAGGCTCCGGGGATTACGCCCTTGGAGCTGTTGGCATTCCTTACTCCTTCTCTCTCGAACTCCGCGATCTGGGTAAGTAGGAGTTAGCATAATACGAGAGAATTCAGTGGCTCTCTCTCTTTTCATAGTGGTCGTAGAATGGATCTGGTACAAGTGTTATTTTCATTCGTCGAGAGAGCAGAGCAGGAGGATATGCTACGTGGCTCTACTGGAAAGTAAGCATGTAAGAAAGTTTTTTTTTTTCGTCTTTGCTTTTATTCTGTTTTTGTTTTCGTTCTTTTTCTCTTGAGATGTTAGCAAAACATTTTTTAAAGAATATGATTTACTCGAATTTTATCCAAAGATTACTCTTCTCTAGTCTGTACAACAGAAGTCAACCAGTTACCATAGTCTTTTATCACAATTTCTTTTTTCATAATCACTTTCACTATATGACAAGCCTCTGTAACTCTATTACTCTTGTATTATTTCCCTTGTCTAGGCATATCTAATACTTAAGTACACCTAATACGGAAAGACTATAGTAAACTGTCAAGGTTACCACCTAACATGGGTTGTGTTCTTACATACTCACAACTACTCCTTCCAAATTACTCAAACTTCCCACCCTCGAGCACCTTCAAAGAGGAATCTTCGTGCGGGAAATCAGTAAGTAAATGGTCTGGCACCAGAACCTCCTTATAAGCTATTCTCCGGTCGACAATAGTAGAGCTTGATCCCGGTTTTAACTTTCTTCGTGTTGGTCTCCTTTACAAGGTGAGCGTGGTAAGTATTATGTTTTCGTTGTCTTTCAGAATCTTTTCGTCACTTCTTCTGATGCACTGACCATCATCGCACATAAGGATTAGTAAACTCAGTAATTTCCACTTAATATAGTTTTTCCCCCACTTGTTAATGCAAACTATTTACCTTCACTCCAAAACACAATTCTTACACTCTTATATCCATTCAGGACGCTACGGTTTCATCCTCCCAAGAGAGCAAATCATGCCAACAGCTAACGAAACTTACGTCGGGATCAAGGCCATGGCACAAGCCGTCTTCGAAAAGCTCCAGGTATCTAACAACACGAATACTGGAGCATAATAATAGCAGGAACGTAATAGGAACATTATGAAGTCGTCGTCTTATCCCAGAGCGCCCATGTCCTCTCGCGTCCAGCCAGTAACCTGTCATTCCCCATCAAACTCCTTCACCCCCTTACTCATGTTCACTCATCATTCCCCCCCCCTTCATTTGTTAGTCTTATTAAAACCCTCAAGTCTAGTTCACATGGGGAAGACTGTTGCCATTTCCATACATATCTTTATCGTCAGTATCACCCCCCAATCCATTCCAGTACCTCAAAATTAATTTTGGTATTTGCTCCTGCTTTAAGTTGAGTTACCCTTCCCTCTTCCCATTTTCTTGTCAAGTTATAACTTTAACCCCTCTAACCCCCTCTCTTCCAACCCCAATAATTATCAATAAAAAAATACATTCAATAAATCTAGCAAAACTGAACTGAACAGTCAACCAGTAAATCTGCATTCCATGGCTTTCTTTGCAAGTAATAACCCAATGGAAGGCTAGATTTAGTCAAGATCTCAACCCTTCTAATAACAGTATATATTTCAAGCAATACTAATAATAGTGTAGCTTTGGTATAGGAATTTACAATTTGACTGCAGAAAATTATATATTTAGCACAGTTTTAGACTTTTAAAAAATTATATAATTGTCCTTTAATGCACTATTAATTTCATGTGATATATGATTGACAAGTATGTAAGGTGTAATGCATATTTATGAGCACTATATTTATTAAATAAGTTATATTTATGTATAAGGTATATTTATTGTATTAACTTATTGAATATCTAAAATGTGTATGATTCATGGTACAAAATAAGAATTCAATTACATTGTCTTTGATTTTTTATTCCTAGAGACAGCCTACAAAAATAGTAAGTATGGCATACAGTATCACATTTAACAAACTTAACAGCAGTCAGATAATAATAATAATGATACAAATTAAAGGATTCCAAGGCTCCAGGCGCAATCACTGGCAAAATCTACATGAAGTACTGACAATTTATGAGCAAATCACACAATAACTGGAAAATTTATTGTGCTTTTATGCAGAAGACCCATCTATTCATCTACTTTCCATAAAAAAGTAAAATCAATGGTACCTTTTCTATGTAAATACTCCCCCCAAACACCAACTTCACAGATACTTTACCAATAAAAAAAAAAAAATTGACGATAGCTCTGTTCAAAACTATATCAACATGAGCTGCCTTTGATATGTTCATCTAGCCAATACTAGAAATAACAATGACACTGAGTCCTTTTCCTTCTAAAACACTGCAAGCTGCTATACTTCACTAAAAACTGACTGGAACTTACAAAAAAAAGAAAACTTCCCTCTCTCATAAAAAAAACTTATTCTCGTAAGTCCATAAAAAGAGTATCTTCATAACACAAAAGGTCATTAGTGTTACATTAACATTAAAACCACATACATGCACATAGCACATTCAATACAAGGTCTCATCCTACACTCCTTGACTGAATACAATGCTCAATGCTGAATATTATTCCATAATGACATTGCAACAGTGAGCAGTCTCCTCGTCCTTATCAGTGATTGGCATAACCACCATTTTCTAAATAATACTGAATAGAGTTAAGAAAAAGGGCCATTTTCTAATTCATGTAACTCATTTTACAAAGCAAGGTCATTCATTTTAGCACCTACCACTGTACCTAGAATTACATTCACAAACTGCATTTCACAATTTTTATCAAGTTTGTTTATGCCAAAATATAGACTAACTTAAATTTCCAGAATGAAACAAACACAAAGCTGTGCACTGCAACACCCTACTATAACTTGCATACATGAAATTACATGAATAGAGAAAAAGTACACCCTGTAAAAATAGTAAGCATCTGTCCCCTTTGCTGTAATTCAATTTACAAAGTATAGCACATATTTACAAAATAAATCATCTTTAAAAAGCTGTAAGAGACAAATTTCTCTCTAACAAAGTGCACCTCATGGTTTTCAAATTTTACTTTACATTACAACGACCAAAACTTTTCAGCTTCCTTTCACAGGATAATTCACTATCTGCATTTAAAAAGGACATCTTGTGAACATAACCCAAAACAATCAACTGTATGGGTAAAATCCCTATGGTATATTGGCAGTCTCTACAATCACTGAAATTCACTAAAACTGATAAAAGCAGTGATGGCAACACAGGCGATTTTGGATAATCACCTTTACCAAACTTATGAAAAGAAAGTTAGTATATTATCAACTGGGCACAGATAGATGAAAGTAATTGAGGATGGGTATAAAAAAGAAAAAAAGAAAAGAAAATAATAAAGAAAAGAAAAAGAAAAAACAAGAGGTGGAGGTAGAAACATAATTAAGAGAGGTATAAAAAACTACTTTTACTGGAAAAGGGAAGGAAATGAAAGAAACTGCGACATATCCCTTTCTTCGTGAACTTTGCCCAGCTTAAGATAAATAAAAGACAAATTCATATAATACTAGTTATTATCATAAATACCCTCTGTTGAACCCTCATTACACAATAATTAGAACTTGCAACTCAGAAGATCATCACAGCACTTGACAAACACCGAAGTGTACAAACATGCACCTAGTGCATTCGCATTTGTACCACCTTCAGACAAAAGGTAAGTTTTGAATAATGCCATCAGAATCAATAAAAAAAATATTACCAGTGATTTCTTTAAAAACAAAAACAATAAATAATAATAACTTCTTACTTATTTCTTATACGAATCACAAAGTAATGGTTCCGAATAATGGTATACATATAAGAAGTGTGTAGCAATACTTAGACCACACAATCCTACATCCTTCTTAGCTCAATATCCTACACAAAAAAGACTAGACACTTTTTTGAAATGCCATTAATAACAATACACTACCAAAAAATGCACATGTTAAATATTTCTTCTTCAGACATCCCTAAGAGAATTTTGTAAAAGACAAAAAAGAAAGTGATGTGGAACAAAGAATAATGGAAGGAACAGACAGGAGGAGGAGATTGGAAAGAGGAAGGGGAAATATAAAGGAGGAAGAGGGAAAAAAACAAAAAGAAATAACACATTCAAGTGATCATCTAAGACATTTCTAAAGCATCTTGTATCATTCCCTGTTTAAATCCACCAGGTGACAATGATGCACCATGGTCCACTAACAAAGTAGTATCGATACATTAGGGAGAGGCGATACATAGTACACCAACTCCCTCCTCTAAATATCTAGTCATATACCTCAAAGATATTAAAATACAAGTATTAGTCCTACAACAAGTACAAAAAGAAAGAGATTTTTCTCACTTTCTCCAAATCTCATTCATTTCCCTTCACACCTTACCACTGGCCCTTCCAAAATGAACATTGAATCTATACACTGAATATGTACATTATTTACACGACTTTAAATATGATTCACAATAACTGCATAGATGGTGAATGCACTGTCTTGTATTCTAAGCCAAAATTTGAATGGTTAAAATGTATGCATACATATCTCATATGATTTGCAAAGAATACTTAGCAAATGCAATTGCATTACCATGTATAACTCAACACTGATCACAATGAAAGACATTCTTGTCACACATAAACTATACACAGTAAGATTATAAAAGTTGAGCACTGGGAAACCCAAAGGTTATTTTCTTATGTAGAAAAAAGAACACAAAACTAACAAAATCTCAAGCATTAAAAAAAATAAAACAATAATAAAAATAATAATAATAATAATAATTTATGGAACTGTCCCGCTTGCTAGTTGAGAGAATTCTCACATCTGTCAACTTGCTCTTCTGAATGATATGTTGACAATACCTTGTACACTAACTGTTTCTACTCTAACTTTGGTCTGGATGAAACTATTTTGCGGACAATATGTCTAGATAATTTCTACAGAACAAAAAGAAACTATCCTCTCATATATGATACATGACAGTCTAGGATGGAATTCTGATACAGGTGCTATAAAATTATGGCAGGTATCTTAACAGATACCCTGCAATGTGATTAAAGGAATAATGATATAAAAGGATAGCCCTTATTGTTTCCAAATGAAAACTGAAAAATACTACATGTTTGGCTAAAGTATCCCTTGAGCAGAGTGTCAAAAGGCATTAAAAATACACATTATGTACAATATTTTCTATACAATCTCACATTCACCTTACTTGGCTCCACTCAGAGTGACGATTCAATTGGGGTTGTTACAGGTGGAGGGGGAGGGGGAGCCGTTGGCTTTACCACATGTGAATTCCTCCCTAAGGTTGAGGGTGGCTGTGGAGCACGTGGCTTAGGTGAGCCTCCACTGCCTCTGGGCTTTGGGGAATTTGGTCCACTTGATGGCCTTGGGGGGACAGCAGGCTTTGGACGACCTAATGTACCAGTGTTATTGACTGGGGTGCCAACAGCCAGTCTAGCAGGCACCGCTGGTCTGTCTTGTGTGGCAGGCACAGGAGGATAATATTTTGGCTGACCATTCTCATCCAGCATCATTGCAGGAGAGTGGCCATATGGGTATTCTGCTTGTGGATAACTTGCATATGGTGGGACTGGTGAACCACTCATTGCATAGTGCTGTGGGGCCTGTGCTCTGTACAAGGATGGTGAGTAAGTAGCACTACCTGGCTGGAGAGGAACTGCTTCATTGCTCTTTGGTGCTGTGTATGCTGATGCAGGAACGAAATTTGGTGTCCAGGAACTTGAAACTGGGGGAGAAACCGGAGGGCTCACTGAAGGTCGGGGACTAGTGGGGGGCCGAGGACTAGTTGGAGGTCTTGGGCTTGTGCGTGGTCGGGGACTAGCACCTGGGCCCTGTGGCTGTGCACTTGGAGCTCCAACCGCTCCAACCTGTTCAGCACCATTCTGGTTTGCCAACATCTTTGCCTCTATCCTCTTGGACATTTCCTCCAGGTCAATGTATTCATCAGTCCTCTGTGAGGGGGGAATGTCATCATCCTCACAGATGTTGTGAAGAGATCCTCTGCTTCGGGCCACATTCAGCTTGCTGGCGCCTCCTCTCGGGGTCATTCTATTAGAAGATTCTTCTTCAACCATGTGTAGAGAAGCCAGGCTCATGGACCTCTTACTTTGGTAGCTCTTGTCTAACTGTTCATCGCTGAGGTTATGTAGTGATGCTAGACTGCCTGTGCGACTATACTTGCTCTTCTTGCTAGAGGTGGTGCTGACTGCATCTGGGTTAGTATTCACACCCAACTTGTTGAGGGATGCCATGCTTGCACTCTTCTTTGATTTCCCAAACATGAAGTCCTTCACTTTGCTGTACAAGGCCTCAGGTGGTTCCTCTTCAACTGCCTTCTCTTTGGTCGATTTCAAGAAGGGTCTCTGCAAGAATGCCAAAGGATCCACATACATGGCTCTGGGTTGGTCCACACGTACAGGTTCTGGGGAAGGCGGTGCCTCAGGGACAGGTTCACACTCTATGTCATCATCATAGCCTATATGAATTGGTTCAGGGTGCTTGACTATCGGAGGCACCACTGCTTTGGGAGGAGGAGGAGCAGGCCGTGTTGGCCTTCGCTGCAGTGGAGGCTGCTTGCGACGACCAAATATTGGTATGGCATAAATGCTTTTCTTACGCCACATGATGTCACAGTCAAAGAATTCGCAACAATCTTGAACAGGGTCACTCAGACAGAATTTCATGCAAAAACTTTTGTGGTCTTCATCACTAGGTTCAGCACTCGCACGATTGGTGTCTGGACTCCCATCAACTGTGTCTTTATTGGGCACCAAGCGGATTGGGGTCCATGACTGCCCACCATTGCCCAAGTCAAGATCATGTGATGCCGAACTCACCACAACCTCATTTTCATCTTTCTTTTTCTTCTTTTTCTTGCAACATGAACATGACAAGCACCCACATGGATTGGCATTAGTCTGGAGATACCATTTAAACGAGCAAAATGCAGCAATGCTAAATATAACCACAACACCTATCACCACTGCAATAATTATATACATTTCAAAATTGTCTATTCGTCGCATCTCATCTGCCAACCAACAGTGCTTGAACTTGAGCGTCTGTTGGTATCTCTTTAGGTTCCTGTAGTCGAACTTGCACAGGCACTCGTGGAATTCCAGGGTGGCATTGGTGTGCTTGGAGCCACACACCTCCAAGGGGTCCTTCCTCCTGCAAGATAAAAAAAGGTGTTAGCAATAATATTTCTTCCTTTTATCATATATATCCCACTCTTCCATAAATCACTGACAAATGCTAATTTACATAGTTATAACTTTATTTTTGCCAATTCCAAAAGTAGCCATTCTCAACGTAAACTCTAATAGTTGTAAAACAGCTATTAGTTCATAAATGGTAATGTTAGTCTTGTTATCTTGGTTCAGTAATCAGATTAAGTACATATTACCAATGTAAAATCTTTTCATCTGATATAAAAATAAAAAATAAAAATAGTTTTGGAATCTGTTGTGAGGTTCCCCACACCAAGACCACTGAAATATTATACGAGAGAAAAAATACATAAATGTACATTTCTGACTAGAGACAACAATAACAATAACACACACAAAAAAGTTAACACCACATTAACAACATACGTATCGGACAAAACTCCCTCAAGGTCTAACTGATCTCCTAGGTGCATTGATTGATTTCTGTCCAACTAAATGGCTTCTGCAAATGTCCTTCTAGGATTTTCAACTAGTTACTAATAGTGGAACATTCAAGAGACAAGTAAATTAAAGAGTAAAATGTAACTGGCACATGAGATTTTAAAGCAAAATACATTTGGTATTAAGTATACATTTAAATAAATATTTGAGTTTTATTTCCTTAGCTATGTAGTTCTGAAAAAATATATAATTAAACCATATGATCAAGATCAGAATAAAATTACATATTAGCAGAGGTATGATTTCCATAGTCCTATAATTAGAAAAGAAAAAGTACTATGCAAATTTATTTCATAAACATACTAACATAATCAATATTCTAACATTATCCATACATTCCTTTCTCCTAAACAACGATCCAGAAGAAGAAGATGAAGAAGAAAAAGAAGAAGAAAGGAAGAAGAAGAAGAAGAAGAAGAAGAAGAAGAAAGAAGAAGAGAAGAAGAAGAAGAAGAAGAAGAAGAAGAAGAAGAAGAAGAAGAAGAAGAAGAAGAAGAAGAAGAAGAAGAAGAAGAAGAAGAGAGAAAGAAGAAAGAAGAAGAAGAAGAAAGAAGAAGAAGAAAGAAGAAGAAGAAGAAGAAGAAGAAGAAGAAGAAGAAGAAGAAGAAGAAGAAGAAGAAGAAGAAGAAGAAGAAGAAGAAGAAGAAGAAGAAAGAAGAAGAAGAAGAAGAAGAAGGGAAGAAGAAGAAGAAGAAGAAGAAAGAAGAAGAGAAGAAGAAGAAGAAGAAGAAGAAAGAAGAAGAAGAAGGAAGAAGAAAGAAGAAGAAGAAGAAGAAAGAAGAAGAAAGAGAAGAAGAAGAAGAAGAAGAAGAAGAAGAAGAAGAGAGAAGGGAAGAAGAAGAAGAAGAAGAAGAAGAAGAAGAAAAGAAGAAGAAGAAGAAGAAGAAGAAGAAGAAGAAGAAGAAGAAAAGAAGAAGAAGAAGAAGAAGAAGAGGAGAAGAAAGGAAGGAAGAAGAAGAAGAAGAAGAAGAAGAAGAAGAAGGGAAGAAGAAAGAAGAAGAAGAAGGGAAGAAGAAGAAGAAGGGAAGAAGAAGAAGAAGAAGAAGAAGAAGAAGAAGAAGAAGAAGAAGGAAGAGAAGAAGAAGAAGAAGAAGAAGAAGAAGAAGAAGAAGAAGAAGAAGAAGAAGAAGAAGAAAAGAAGAAGAAAAGAAGAAGAAGAAGAAGAAGAAGAAGAAAGAAGAAAAGAAGAAGAAGAAGAGAGAAGAAGAAGAAGAAGGGAAGAAAGAAGAAGAAGAAGAAGAAGAAGAAGGAAGAAGAAGAAGAAGAAGGAAAGAAGAAGAAGAAGAAGAAGAAGAAGAAGGAAAGAAGAAGAAGAAAGAAGAAGAAAGAAAAGAAGAAGGGAAGAAGAAGAAGAAGAAGAAGAAGAAGAAAGAGGAAGGGAAGAAGAAGAAGAAGAAGAAGGGAAGAAGAAGAAGAAGAAGGGAAGAAAGAAGAAAGAAGGAAGGGAAGAAGAAGAAGAAGAAGAAGAGAAGAAGAAGAAGAAGAAGAAGAAGAAGAAGAAGAAGAAGAAGAAGAAGGGAAGAAGTAAAAGAAACCACACACAGAAAGCTACAAAATTACTACATTTTGACACCAAAACAACAACCTAATCTGGGCAAGCTTTAGCAACCTCACATAGACTGACTGCATTACAAGTCTGGACATGAACCACGGCAAGAAGTGTCCAACAATAATAACTTCTACAATGAACGCTGAAAATTTGACCCCTTTCTAAAATATTACATAAGGAAAATAATATATAATAATACTTTAATGAAAACAATGAACCTGAACAAGGCACAGACATCTCGGCAATATGAATTAGTCACAGCTTACACTAAAGGTAATGATTACAATGTGATATTTGGACTGGTATTATCCAGTAGTGATAGGAGTCTGGTTGCATCAGCGCTCTGTTAAAAACAGGGAGAGGGGAGGGGGAGGGAGAGGGAGAGAGGGGAGAGGGGGAGGGGGAGGGAGAAGGAGGGGAGAAGGAACAGGAGGGGAGGGAGGGGGAGAGAGAGAGAGAGAGAGAGGGAGAGGGAGGGGAGGGAGAGGGAGAGGGAGAGGGAGAGGGAGAGGGAGAGAGGGGAGAGGGAAGGGAGAGAGGGGAAGGGAGGGAGAGGGAGAGGGAGGAAGGGAGAAGAGCAAAGGGAAAGGGAGAGGGAGAAGGGAGGGTGAGGGATAGAGGGAAATAGAGGAATGGGGACGGAAGGAAGGAAAAAAGGACGGAAAGGAAGGAGGAGAAAGGAGGGAAGGAAGGGGGAAGGAAGGAGGGTTGGAAGGGGGGAAAAGGGGGTGAGAAGGTGGAAAAAGGAGGGAGGGAAGGGAGAATGGAGGGAGGGAAATAGGGGGGGGGGGAAAGGGAGGGAAGGCAAGGAGAGGGAAAGGAGAGAAAGAGGGAAGGGGGAGGGGAAGAAAAGATGGGAGAGAAGGAGAAGGGGAGAGGAGAAGAGGGAAGGGGGAGGAGAAGAGGGAAAGGGGGAGGAATAGGAGAAAGGAGAAGGAGGAGAAGGAGAAGGAGAAGGAGAAAGGAGAAAGAGGAGAAGAAGGAAGAAGGAGAAGGAGAAGGAGAAGGAGAAGGAGAAGGAGGAGAAGAAGGAGAGGAGAAGGAGACGGAGAAGGAGGAGAAGGAGAAGGAGAAGGAGAAGGAGAAGGAGAAGAGAAAGGGAAAAGGAGAAGGAGAAGGAGAAGGAGAAAGGAGAAGGAAGAAGGAGAAGGAGAAGGAGAAGGAGAAGGAGAAGGAAGGAGAAGGAGAAAGGAGAGGAGGAGGAGGAGGAGGAGGAGGAGAAGGAGAAGGAGAAGGAGAAGGGAAGAAAGGAGAAGGAGAAGGAGAAGGAGAAGGAGAAGAGAGAAGGAGAAGGAGAAGGAGAAAGGAGAAAGGAGAAGGAGAAGGAGAAGGAGAAGAAGAGAAGGAGAAGGAGAAGGAGAAGGAAGAAGGAGAAGGAGAAGGAGAAGGAAAGAAGGAGAAGGAGAAGGAGAAGGAGAAGGAGAAGGAGAAGGAGAAGGAGAAGGAGAAGGAGAAGGAGAGGAGAAGGAGAAGAGGAGAAGGAAGAAGGAGAAGAAGGAGAAGGAGGGAGAAGAGAAGGAGAAGGGAGAAGGAGAAGGAGAAGAGAGGAGAAGGGAGAGAAAGGAGAAGGAGAGGAGAAGGAGAGAAGGAGGAGAAGGAGAAGGAGGGAGAAGGGAGAGGGAGAGGGAGAGGGAGAGGGAGAGGGAGAGGGAGCAGGAGAGGGGAAGAGGGAGAAGAGGAGAAGGAGAGGAGAGGAGGAGGGAGAGGGAAGGAAGAGAGAAGAGGGAGGGGGAGGAGAAGAGAAGGAGAAGGGAAGGAGAAGGAAGAAGGAGAAGGAGAAAGGAGAAGGAGAAGGAGAAGGAGAAGGAGAAGGGAGAAGGAGAAGGAGAAGGAGAAGAGAAGGAGAAGGAGAAAGGAGAAGGAGAAGGAGAAGGAGAAAAGGAAGAAAGAGAAGGAGCAGAGGAGAAGGAGAAGGAGAAGGAGAAAGGAGAAGGAGAGAGAAGAGAAGGAGAAGGAGAGGAGAAGGAGAAGGAGAGGAGAAGGAGAAGGAGAAGGAGAAGGAGAAGGAGAGAGGAGAAGGAGAAGGAGAAGGAGAGAAGGAGAAGGAGAAGGAGAAGGAGAGAAGGAGAAGGAGAAGGGAGAGGAGAGAGGAGAGGAGAGGAGAGGAGAGGAGAGGAAGAGGAGAAGGAGAAGGAGAGGAGAGGAGAGGGAGAGAGAGAGAGAAGAGAAGAGAGGAGAGAAGAGAAGGAAGAGGAGAGGAGAGGAGAGGAGAGGGAGAGGAGAGGAGAGAGGGAGAGGGAGAGGAGAGGAGAGGAGAGGAGAGGGAGGGAGAGGGAGAGGAGAGGAGGAGGAGAGAGGAGAGGAGAGGAGAGGAGAGGGAGAGGGAGAGGAAAGGGAGAGGAGAGGAGAGGAGAGGGAGAGGAGAGGGAGAGGAGAGGGAGAGGAGAGGGGAGAGGAGAGGGAGAGGAGAGAGGGAGAGGGAGAGGGAGAGGAGAGGGGGAGGGAGAGGAGAGGAGAGGAGAGGAGAGGAGAAGGAGAGAAGAGGAAAGGAGGGAGTGAAGGGGGAAAAAGGAGGAGAGAAAGGGGAAAGGAGGGAGGAGAAGGGGAAAAGGGAGGGAGAAAGAGGAAGGAGAGAGGAATGAGGAGGAAGAAGGGAGTGAGAGAGGGGAGATGGGAGAAAGAAGGGAAGGAGAAGATGAGATGAGAGAGAGGTTGGTAAAGGAGGAGAAGAGAGGCAGGTAAAGGGAGAAGAGGGAAGTAGGAGAAAGAGAAAAAGAAGAGAAGAGAAAGAGCAGAGAGAGAGAGAGAAGAAAGAGAATAGAGAAACAGAGAGAAAGAGAAGAAAAGAGAATAGAGAGAAAGAGAGGAAAGAGGATAGAGAAAGAGAGAGAAAAAGAAGAAAGAGAATAGAGAAACAGAGAAAGAGAAGAAAGAGAATAGAGAGAGAGAGAAAAGAAAAGAAAGAGAAGAGAAGAGAAGAGAAGAGAAGAGAATGTATATCCTGATATTCT